TCTCTACTGTCTGTCACCATCTGTCATCCCTCTCTCTCTCTGTCTGTCTCTCTCTGTCTGTCTCTCTCTCTGTCTGTGTCTCTCTCTCTGTCTGTCTGTCTGTCTCTCTCCCTGTCTGTCTGCCTCTCTATGTCTGTCTGTCTGTCTCTCTCTCTGTCTGTCTGTCTCTCTCTCTATGTCTGTCTGTCTGTCTCTCTCTCTGTCTGTCTGCCTCTCTCTATGTCTGTCTGTCTGTCTCTCCTCTCTGTCTGTCTGTCTCTCTCTCTCTGTTTGTCTGTTTCTCTCTCTCCTGTCTCTCTCTCCTGCCATCTGTCTGTCTCTCACTGTCTCTGTCTCTGTCTGTGTCTCCCTCTCAGTGTCTGTCTGCCCTCTCTGTCCTCTGTCTGTCTCTCTCCCCGTCTCTCTGTCTGTCTCTCTCACTGTCTCTCTCACTTTCTCTCTGTCTGTCTCTCTCACTGTCTCTGTCTCTCTGTCTGTCTCTCTCCTGTCTCTGTCTGTCTGTCTGTCTGTCTCTCTATCGCACTGTCTGTCTGCTCTCTCTCTCCTGTCTCTGTCTGTCTGTCTGTCTGTCTCTCTCTCTCTGTCTGTCTCCCCTCTCACTTGTCTCTCTCTCACCATCTCTGTCTCTCTCTCACTGTCCCCAGCCTGTCTCCCTCTCACTGTCTCTGTCTGTCTCTCTCACCGTCTCTGTCTGTCTCTCTCCCTGTCTCTCTCACTGTCTCTGTCTGTCTCTCTCCTGTCTCTGTCACCAATGCCTCTCTCTCTTTGTCTGTCTCTCTCCCTGTCTGTCTGTCTGTCTCTCTCTCTGTGTCTCTGTCTCTGCCTGCCTGTCTGTCTCTGTCTGTTTGTCTCTGTCTGTCTCTCTGTGTCTGTCTGTCTGTCTGTCTGTCTGTCTGCCTGTCTCTCTGAGTCTGTCTCTCTATCTCTATCTATGTCTGTCTCTCTCTCTCTGTCTGTCTGTCTGTCTCTCTCACTGTTTGTCTGTCTGTCTCTGCTGTCTGTCTCTCTCTCTCTCACTGTCTGTCTCTGTCTGTCTGCCTGTCTCTCTGAGTCTGTCCTGTCTCCTATCTCACTATCTATGTCTGTCTCTCTCTCTGTCTGTCTGTCTGTCTCTCTCACTGTCTCTGTCTCTCTGTCTGTCTCCTGCGTCTCTGTCTCTGTCTGTCTGTCTGTCTCTCTCTCTCTCTCTGTCTGCCTCCCTCTCACTGTCTCTCTCTCACCATCTCTGTCTGTCTCTCTCACCGTCTCTGTCCGTCTCTCTCACTGTCTGTCTGTCTCTCCACTGTCTCTGTCTGTCTCTCTGCTGTCTGTCTGTCCCTGCTTTTTGTCTCTCTCACTATCTGTCTGTCTGTCTGTCTCTCTCTCTCTCTCTTTGTCCTGTCTCTCTCTCTCACCGGCTCTGTCTCTCTCACAGTCTCTGTCTGTCTGTCTCTCACTGTCTCTGTCTGTGTCTCTCTCACGATCTCTGTCTCACTGTCTCTGTCTGTCTCTCTCCACAGTCTGTCTGTCTGTCTCTCCACGGTCTCTGTCTGTCTCTCACTGTCTGGTCGCCTCTAACGCCCTCTATCTCACTGTCTCTCTCTACAGGGATAACAACAGCACACACACACAAGACCCCCTCACCTTCTCTCTCACCATCTCTGTCTGTCTCTCACCATCTCTCTGTCTCTCTCTCTCTGTTCTGTCTGTTTCTCTCACCATCTGTCTGTCTCTCTTCTTCTGTCTCTCACTGTCTCTCTGCAGGAATAACAACACACAGGTCCTCCTCCTCCTTCCAGGCCAACTCTTTAGGTAGGACTGTTCAACGTGAGCCAGGGCCTCCTTCATGCGGGCTCAGTCGACCCTCCAGGCACTCTCCAGCACCAACAGGGGTTACCACATGCCTCACTGCTGCCATACTCCTGCACAAGGTTCCACTGATTCAGTTCCTTTGCACATCTGTCGGGTGTGAGGAAAAATTACGTCTTACCATTTTTACGACCACAGTTGCAGATCAAATGGCCCCCCAAGTGTAGTGAGGCCACACAACTTGAACCTAACTTAACCAAAGACCCTCAAAGTGTAAGTGAGGCCACACAACTTGGACCTAACTCTAACAAAAGACCCCTCAAAGTGTAAGTGAGGCCACACAACTTGACCCAACTTAACCAAAAGACCCTCAAAAAGTGTAAGTGGGCCACACAACTTGGACCTAACTTAACCAAAAGACCCTCAAAAAAAAAAAAAAAAAAATTATTGATCCTGTCCCCAAAATTAGGGTTGGTTTTGTCAGCCGAGGCAACAGATTACAGTGTCATGGCTCTAACAAGACAACCGTTACAGTAAACTCTTGCCATTCGCGATTTCAACGATTTGCGGTAAGCAGATGGTGGCTAGCTTGCAAGCCTTTCCCAAGCACAATGAGTCAGCCCATGCAGCATCTCGTTGTACTCTCAAAACTTTAGTGTTTCTGTGTGAAAATGGCCCCTAAAAGAGTGCCTAGTGTCAGTGTTAGTGATGCTAGTGGAGTGAAAAGTAAAGGGCAGAAGTCAGTGACGACCCTGACAAAGAAAGATGAATTATTGGATAAGTTAAAGGAGGGGATGAGTGGCTATGCTGGTCAGTTGTTTGGTGTAGGTATACAGTCAGTCCCCGACTTACGACTGAGTTAGGGACCGACGACCAGGTCATAAGTCGAAAATGTGAAAATAATACATAGAAAATCTAAAATGGGTGTCTCTTTTTCTCTCAGCACCACGAGAACTCTCACTTTAAGCTTGCCAGCCATTTTAAAGGAATTACAAAAAAAATTTTGCTGGCACAATACACAGCTCGATCACTACCGACTCAAAATACGAATTTGAAAAATATTTTATACGACTGCCATGTAGTATGTCCGGTGATCATAAGTGGAGGAGTACCTGTACAGTAGTGCACTGAGGTAGTATAAGTTGCTATTCACTGTTGTGCCAATTGTGCCATATCATGGAACCTATCTTGGAGAATGGCAAGGGTCTACTGTGTTAACTGTTCAGTGTAGATCATCTACACAACCTTACTGTACATGGAGCCAAGTACACCTAATGGTTGAGACTGTTGGGTAGGGTGGGGTTAAGGCTGGGCTGAGGTTGGGCAAGGCTGGGCTGAGGTTGGCAAAGGCTGAGGTTGGGCTAAGGAGGTTGGGCTGAGGTTGGGCTGAGGTTGGCTAAGGCTGAGGCTGGGTTAAGGCTGAGGCTGGGTTAAGGTTGAGGCTGAGGTGGGTCACAGTAGGAGTGGTGTCCCGACATACACAATCATCACTGTGTATTACCTACAAAAGACGAATTGAATCACAAGTGTCATCAAACCTGATCCATCGTTCCTCCCACAACTTCATCTCTGACTGCAGCCTCTCCAGGATGGTCTCACAGCAATGTCCCCGGCCTTGGACATGGAAAGTTCGAGGTCGCCAGAGCTTGTTCCAGGAAGCCATGTTGTTCATAAGTCACAGCCTGTAACAAGTCATATAAAAGGATGATTTTTTTACGGGTATTAGCTCCAACTCGGCACAGGTCACTGACCCACATCAGGCCTGGGGACGAAATGTAATAATAATAATATAATAATAATAATAATAATAATAATAATAATAATAATAATAATAATAAATAATAATAATAATAATAATAAATAATAGTCATAATAATTCATAATAAATAAAATTATGATACAAACAAAATAAAATATAAAATAATGATGATAATAATACAGTAACTGTAATAATAATATTAATAATAAAGAACTATAAATACAAAAATGAAAAAAGATCAAAAGTGAAAAAATATATGTACTGTATGTTGTCAATGGTAAGAGAAACAATTGAGACCCTGCAATTGTGTGTAAATGAAGCAGAAAGTCAGAACAGCAACCTGGGACTTGGTCACACTTTCGTGAAGCCATATGGCAGCAGGGTTTACCATTAGACAACACATTATGCTTCCAATATCTTCCCAGGCGGTAGTACCTTGTTTGGTAGCTTCACTACCCACATAATACATACATACATGTATCTGGCAGGTCTCACGATCTGTACAATATCTATAGTTTGTAATGTTGTGTGTTAGGGCGCACTGAGGCCACCAGGTCAGGTTATCGTGCCGCACTTTTTTTTTTCATTTTATTTCTTCTTCCTTTGCCATAAATAATTTACATATTCTTCAATACATTCTAACGAGTTGGCTATGGTACTTATATACAGTATAGAACTTATGTTCAGGTAATATGCATACTGTACAATTTATAAAAATCTACATCGGGATTGATGACTGTAATCTTTAGCGATTTGATTTGATGTAAGTAAATAACAGCACAGACAGTACAAGGAAAATTGTCAATATTATCGATAAGATTATGTAGTATATATTATGTTTACCCATAAATGTTTTATAAAGAAAGTATATAACTACTATAGAGCAGTGAGTTTTAGGCTTGGGTGACCATTAGTGCCCAACATAACTCCCCGACATACGAAAGTGGGTTAGGGAAATCCAAGTCGTAAGCTCTCAAATGGTGTTAAGTCTAAAATGCTTAAATAATACGTGAGAAAAATTCAAAATGGGTGTCTTTTTTTCTTCTCAGCACCACAAAACTCTCACTTTTAAGCTACAGCCATTTAAAGTGAATTACAAACGAAAATTTTGTTTGTGTACTGACGACAGACTACAAAATTTGAAAATTTTAGTACAACCGAGGCGGTCGGATGTGCGGTGGTCGAAGAGGAGTAGGTCGCGGCGCGGTGGTCGGGTGGAGTAGGTCGTGGCGCGGGTGGTCGGCGGGAGTAGGTCGGGCGGAGTAGGTCGGCGCGGTGGTCGGGGAGTAGGTCGCGGCGCGGTGGTCGGGGGAGTAGGTCGGGCGCGGTGGTCGGTGAGTAGGTCGCGGCGCGGTGGTCGGTGAGTAGGTCGCAGCGCGGTGGTCGGTGAGTAGGTGGTCGCAGCGCGGTGGTCGGTGGAGTAGGTCGCAAGTGCGGTGGTCGGTGGAGTAGGTCAGGCGCGGTGGTCGGTGAGTAGGTCGCAGCGCGGTGGTCGTAGTGGAGTAGGTCGGCGCGGTGGTCGGTGAGTAGGTCGGTAGAGTAGGTCGCAAGCGCGGTGGTCGGCAGAGTAGGTCGGGCAGAGTAGGTCGGCGCGGTGGTCGGTGAGTAGGTCGGTGCGGTGGTCGGTGGAGTAGGTCGGCGTGCAGGTGGTCGGTGGAGTAGGTCGGTAGAGTAGGTCGCGGCGCGGTGGTCGGCAGAGTAGGTCGCGGCGCGGTGGTCGGCAGAGTAGGTCGGCAGAGTAGGGCGGCGCGGTGGTCGGAAGAGAGGGGGTCGGCAGAGTGGGTCGGCGCGGTGGTCGTGGCAGAGTAGGTCGCGCGCGGTGGTCGGTAGAGTAGGTCGCAAGTGCGGTGGTCGGCGGAGCAGGTCGGCGGCGTAGCAGAGTAGGTCGGGCGCGGTGGTGGGTAGAGTAGGTCGCAAGCGCGGTGGTCGAGTGAGTAGGTCGGGCGCGGTGGTCGGGGCAGTGCGGTGTCGCGGAGTAGGTCGGCGCGGTGGTCGAGCAGAGTAGGTCGGCGCGGTGGTCGGCAGAGTAGGTCGCAGTGCGGTGGTCGAAGTGGAGTAGGTCGTAGCGCGGTGGTCGGCAGAGTAGGTCGAGTAGAGTAGGTCGTGAGCAGAGTAGGTCGGCAGAGTAGGTCGGCAGAGTAGGTCGCAAGTGCGGTGGTCGTAGGTAGAGTAGGTCGGGCGCGGTGGTCGGTGAGTAGGTCGCGCGGTGGTCGGTGGAGTAGGTCGCGGCGGTGGTCGGTAGAGTAGGTCGCGCGCGGTGGTCGGGTGAGGTGGCGTCAGTGCGGTGGTCGGGTGTGGAGTAGGTCAGTAGAGTAGGTCGTGCGGTGGTCGGCAGAGTAGGTCGCAGCGCGGTGGTCGGGCAGAGTAGGTCGTAAGTAGAGTAGGTCGTGCGCGATGGTCGAGTAGAGTAGGTCGTGGCGCGGTGGTCGTAAGTAGAGTAGCCTGCGGTGGTGGCGGTGGAGTAGGTCGGCGCGGTGGTCGGGCAGAGTAGGTCAGGTGCGGGTGGTGGAAGTAGAGTAGGTCGGCAGAGTAGGTCGCGGTGCGTGGTCGTAGAGAGTAGGTCGCAAGTGCGGTGGTCGTGAGTGAGTAGGTCGCAAGTGCGGTGGTCGGTGGAGTAGGTCGCAAGTGCGGGTGGTCGGTGGAGTAGGCCGGGCGCGGTGGTCTGAGTGAGTAGGTCAGTGCGGGTGGTCGAGTGGAGTAGGTCGGCGCGGTGGTCGGGGCGAGTAGGTCGGTAGAGTAGGTCGCAAGTGCGGTGGTCGTGGCAGAGTAGGTCGCAAGTGCGGGGTGTCGCAGAGTAGGTCAGGCAGAGTAGGTCGAAGCGCGGTGGTCGGCAGAGTAGGTCGTAGCAGAGTAGGTCGCAAGTGCGGTGGTCGGTAGAGTAGGTCGCAAGTGCGGGTGGTCGGTGGAGTAGGTCGCAAGCGCGGTGGTGGGTGAGTAGGTCTGGGGCGCGGTGGTCAAGCAGAGTAGGTCGCAAGTGCCGGTGGTCGGGGTGAGGTCGTAGCGCGGTGGTCGAAGTGGAGTAGGTCGGGTAGAGTAGGTCGCAGTGCGGTGGTCGGCAGAGTAGGTCGCGCGGTGGTCAGGCAGAGTAGGTCGGCAGAGTAGGTCGGCGCGGTGGTCGAGCAGAGTAGGTCGGCAGAGTAGGTCGAAGTGCGGTGGTCAGGCAGAGTAGGTCGCAAGTGGGTGGTCAGCAGAGCAGTGGCCGCGCGGTGGTCGGGTAGAGTAGGTCGTAGTAGAGTGGGTCAGCGCGGGTGGTCGTAAGTAGAGAAATGGTAGAGGTCGCAAGTGCGGTGGTCGGGGTAGAGGGCGGTGGTCGGGAGGTCGGCAGAGTAGGTCGGCGCGCGGTGGTCGGGGCAGAGTAGGTCGTGGGCAGAGTAGGTCGCAAGTGCGGGTGGTCGTAAGTAGAGTAGGTCGAAGCAGAGTAGGTCGTAGCGCGGTGGTCGGGGAGAGTAGGTCGGCAGAGTAGGTCGAAGCGCGGTGGTCGAGCAGAGTAGGTCGGGGTGAGAATGGCGCGGGTGGTCAGTAGAGTAGGTCGGGTAGAGTGGGTCGCAAGTGCGGTGGTCAGTAGAGTAGGTCGAGCAGAGTAGGTCGGGGTGCGGTGGTCGCGAATAGGTCGGCAGAGTAGGTCGGTAGAGTAGGTCGCAAGTGCGGTGGTCGGTAGAGTAGGTCGCAAGTGCGGTGGTCGGGCAGAGTAGGTCGCAGTGCAGGTGGTCGGCAGAGTAGGTCATAAGCAGAGTAGGTCAAGTGCGGTGGTCGGTAGAGTAGGTCGCAAGCGCGTGGTGGGAGAGTGGGGGCGCGGTGGTCGGCAGAGTAGGTCGGGCAAGAGTAGGCCGGCAGAGTAGGTCCGCGGTGGTCGGGGCAGAGTAGGTCGAAGCAGAGTAGGTCGGTGCAGGTGGTCGAAGTAGAGTAGGTCGGCAGAGTAGGTCGGGCAGAGTAGGTCGTAAGCGCGGTGGTCGGCAGAGTAGGTCGAGTGCGGGTGGTGAGAGTAGCGAGCAGAGTAGGTCGGCGCGGTGGTCGAGGAGAGTAGGTCGAAGTCCGGTGGTCGGTAGAGTAGGTCGCAAGGGCGGTGGTCAGTAGAGTAGGTCGAAGTGAGGGTGGTCGGGCAGAGTAGGTCGAGTGAGGGTGGTCAGCAGAGTAGGTCGTAGCGCGGGTGGTCGGCAGAGTAGGTCGAAGTGCGGTGGTCGTAAGTAGAGTAGGTCAGTGCGGGTGGTCGTAGAGTAGGTCAAGTGAGGGTGGTCAAGTAGAGTAGTCGGGTGAGGTGGTCGGCAGAGTAGGTCGAAGTAGAGAGGTCGAGTGCGGTGGTCGGCAGAGTAGGTCGTGGCAGAGTAGGTCGCGCGGTGGTCGAGCAGAGTAGGTCGGGCGCAGTGGCTGAGCAGAGTAGGTCGAAGCGCGGTGGTCGTAGGCAGAGTAGGTCAAGTGAGGGTGGTGGGGCAGAGTAGGTCATAAGTGCGTGGTCGGGCAGAGTAGGTCGAAGAGGGTGGTCAAGCAGAGTAGGTCGGCAGAGTAGGTCGCAAGTGCGGTGGTCGGGGCAGAGTAGGTCGAGCAGAGTAGTCGAAGTGCGGGTCGTGGCAGAGTAGCGTAGTGCGCGTGGTCGGGTAGAGTAGGTCGTGGCGCGGGTAATGTGGCAGAGTAGGTCGGGCGCGGTGGTCGGCAGAGTAGGTCGGCGCGGTGGTCGGCAGAGTTGGTCAAATGCGGTGGTCAAGCAGAGTAGGTCGAAGCGAGGGTGGTCGTAAGCAGAGTAGGTCGAGTAGAGTAGGTCGCGCGCGGTGGTCGGGCAGAGTAGGTCGGGCAGAGCAGGTCGTAGGCGGGTGGTCGGCAGAGTAAGTCGTAGCGCGGGTCGGGCAGAGTAGGTCAGTGCGGTGGTCGGCAGAGTAGGTCGGCGCGGTGGTCGGTAGAGTAGGTCGAGTGCGGTGGGAAGTGCGGGTGGTCGGCGCGGTGGTCGGGCAGAGTAGGTCGAAGTAGGTGGCAGTAGGCCGTGGCGCGGTGGTCGGGTAGAGTAGGTCGTGGTGAGGGTGGTCAGTAGAGTAGGTAGTCGCAAGTGCGGTGGTCAGGCAGAGTAGGTCGTGGCAGAGTAGGTCGGGCGCGGTGGTCGGAAGAGAAAGGTGCGCGGTGGTCGTGCAGAGTAGGTCGGCGCGGGTTGGCAGAGCAGGTCGTGGCGCGGTGGTTGTGGCAGAGTAGGTCGGGCGCGGTGGTCAAGTAGAGTAGGTCGTAAGTGAGTGCCTGGTAGAGTAGGTCGGCAGAGTAGGTCGAAGTGCGGTGGTCGGCAGAGTAGGTCGAGCGCGGTGGTGCAAGTAGAGTAGGTCGAGTGCGGTGGTCGTAGTAGAGTAGGTCGGTAGAGTAGGTCGCAGGCGCGGTGGTCGGGCAGAGTAGGTCGGCGCGGTGGTCGGCAGAGTAGGTCGGCAGAGTAGGTCGAAGCGCGGTGGTCGGGCAGAGTAGGTCGAGGCGCGGTGGTCGAGCAGAGTAGTCGAAGTGAGGGTGGTCAGAGTAGGTCAGTGAGGGTGGTCGGCAGAGTAGGTCGAAGTGCGGGTGGTCTAAGCAGAGTAGGTCAAGTGAGGGTGGCATGCAGAGTAGGTCGCAAGTCGAGGAGTTGTATTGTACAGTAAACCTATTACTCCTTCATCAGTCGGTGACATATGTTTACTTCCTACATCCTGAGACTAATTTACAAATAATAGTGGTGTAGATTAATACAGTACAGGTTGACAACCCTTTATCCGAAATTCCAAAAACCGAAAAGCTCTAAAAACAGAAAGTTTTTGTGGGCATTTTTTTTTTTTTTTAAACAGGGATTAGCCCACCGGGCATAAATCACTGACTCACATCGGCCTGTGGGCGAAATGTAATTGTAATTGTAATAGTAATAGTAATAATAATTATAATAATAATATTATTCATAGTAAATAAAAAATTTTAATTAAAATACTGTACCAAAATAAAATAATAATGATAACAATAATAATAATAATAGTAATAATAAAATATAATAATAAAATTAATAATAATAATAATAACAATAATACTGTAATAAAATAATAATAACAATAAAGAAATACAGTACAAGAATGAAAAAAAGATCAAAAGTGAGAAATGTGACCTAGACCTATGGATCATTATTACAGTATTATTATTATTATTATAATAATAATAATATTTTCGCCCCCCAGGCCCTGATGTGGGTCATGGATCTATGCCCGGTGGGCTAACAAAAAAAAAAAAAAAAAAAAAAAAAAAAAAAAATAAACCATTCTGAAAACCGAAAATTCCGAATCCAAAATGCCTCTCCCCAAGGATTTTGGATATGGATTGTCAACCTGTATAACCTTTTTTCTATATTTTCAATTTTTTCCGTTTTTTTTCGCCTCAGGCCTGCTGAGGGTCGCTTGACCTGTGCCGGGTGGGTTAATTCCCATAAAAAAAGAAAAAAAGTTACATCAACAGTTACTATGGCCTGGTTCTCACATTATATATATATATTAACATCTCATATTTCGTATGATTTCATTTCATGCTTTTTAATTCTCACAGCACTACCTAATGTAACCAAGTCTTATATTTGGCTTAAACAGTGAGTTTCCAGAGATCTAGCCAGTTGACTGGCCACCGCCTTCAATGACGTCACAGCCCTCATACCAGTTACAGTCATTTCTGCTACAACCTGTGGTTTTGTCAACGCCAATTGGTTGTACCGCCGATTGATGAATAGGGAACACTGTTTGTAAAACGCGAACTTTTGCATTATCAATGTTGGCTATAACACGATTCCATCCTCAACGTTTTAAGCATGGCACACGGTTATGCAAAGTTTACAGTTCATGTTTGTTTGTGAAGTGTTTTTTGAGACACTATTTTTTTTTTTTTTTTTTTGCAAATTTAGCTGTTACCCATAAATACTGTAAGAAAAGAATAAGTAAGAATGTTTCGAGCGAGGACTATTAACTTACACCAGCGCCTTCTGTTTACATCAACGGATCAGTTGAATCGCCAGGTTTCTGTCAATTACCTGTGATTTTTAATATTTCCAATTTTGATAAGTTAGCTATGAATAGGAAAGACAAGGTAAGAGGAATGTTTCCAAGAAGTTGCCTGTGATCAAATTGTCGGTGGTGAACGTAAAGAGGTTTACAAGGAACGAACTATGGCGTTGTAGCCAGCGCATCCAGGCCACCACGGCTGTTATTAGTGTGGATTTTTGGGTGGTGCTCCACCTGTCAAGTCAAGATAATGGCCTCCTACTGGGGGTCCTACTGGTGCTGGGACAGACTCACCTAAGAGGCCAAATGGAAAAAGGACGGGACTTTCATAAGGGAGTTAAGTTTGCCAAGGCACTTGATGCAGGATAAGCAGCGTGATTAAGTTACTTGAGGAAGGCCTAAAAACTAGTTTCAGCACAATCAGGTCAATAAAGGCAGAATTTGTATCATTTGGAGGTTATAAATGGGAAAATCAGAGGTTGATGTAGAGTGGCCAGTCTATATTGTTATTTTTACCACTAGTTTATGTATTTGTATTTGGCATTTGAATTTAGGCTTAATTTTTTCCAGTCTATATTACTGGCAAAATACAAGATCTTCTGTACTTCAAATAATTTAACTACAGTATAGTTAGCAGGTATACCCTATTGTCCTTGCTCTCCTTGTTACTAGCAAATGCATTTCCATTGACAGCATAACTATGAATGCAAATCTGTTACCTGGTTATCAAAATATGTACTCTCCCTTCCCGGTCCTGATGTATTTGGACATGAACACAACACGCACATAACAGTCTCCGGTTCAGTTGGTGTCTTATTGTAAGCTGCCTTCTTGTTCTTTCTTCTTGCACCTGAATATCACCATGACACCTGCCACCTGTTCTCACTAATGTAATGAAACAGGATGAGCAATCATTCCATAATGCAAAACCAATGTCATGAGTAACCTCGCTGATTTATGCACCTTAGATACTATTTCAGCCCCAGGGGATGGGTTGACAAATGTGAATATAGCGTACTATATTTTCATGAACTGAGGTTACTGATGGAATCGCTCAACAAATATGAAACAATATGGCCGATAGCATATTCATTTGCCATATCCAATTACAATAACATTATGATTCACAGCATTTGGATATTATTTCTCAATCGAGAATGTGATAATAATATCTACCGTTCATAAACATTATCTGATACAGTGCCGAACAGTAATGGTCAAGTCCTCCTTGGGATCAACAGTCACCGTGGGGCATTACACGAGGGGTTGGATACACTAAACATTGATAGGGCTCTAATAATAAACTTTAAAATTAAAAAAGATCTATGACATTGTTTTCATTTCCTAGACCTAGAATGTATTAGTTTAACCTAGTGTTATTATTTAATAGTCATTTGCACTATATGACTATTTTAATTATTACTATACCTATTACAGTTACAATGATGTAAACATAATGCTAACAAGCATTTATTTATAGTTATGCTGTTATTCAGAAAGTGACATTTCTCCTTGTCTGTCGGTGCAAGCCGTGTCTTCCAATGAGTCTCGGTACTAGTGTTGGTCGGGTACCTAAGGTACTGGTGCAATTAGGGTACTAGTGAGTCTCGGTACTAGTGTTGGTGCTACCAGTGAGTCTCAGGTACTAGTGCCAAGTAGTCTCGATACTAGTGTTGGTCGGGTCCTAGTGAGTCTCGGTACTAGTGTTGGTGGTACTAGTGAGTCTCGGGCATAGTGTTGGTCGGGTACTAGTGAGT